AATGAGATGAATTTACTACACTACATTATTTTTTTAACTACATCTTTGAGATTTTCCTTCCAGGTGTACAAATGCACCTGAAATGGAAAAATAAAAAAAGAAAAATATGAGGAAAAATTGAACAAATAAAAAAAAGGTGCTAACAATGTAAAGCATAGTTTATCTGTTTTTATATCTGCAGTGATGCACTATGTTTATTAATGCCATCATTTATACTTATTTTTACCTTTTACATCAAGCTTTATCTAATATTATCTGTAACTCATTCAAAAACAATAGTACTTTTACTTATTTATTTATTTATTTATTTATTTTGCTTTTTGGGTCACACCTGGCAATGCACAGGGGTTACTCCTGGCTCTGCACTCAGGAATTACCCCTGGCTGTGCTCAGGAGACCACATGGGATACTGAGAACCGAAGCCAGGTTGGCTGCATGCAAGGCAAATGAACTACCTTCTGTGCTATCACTCCAGACCCAACAATTGTACTTTTAAGATAACATGAAAATGTAGCTTAAGATAGATAAGTCAGAAGAAGAACGATGAATACTAGGTGATCTAATTCATGTATGTAACAGAAACAAAACAAATGAACAAAACAATAATAAAAGAATATGTTGCATTTGAAAACCAAAACCGGGCTGGAGCGATAGCACAGAAGGTAGTTCATTTGCCTTGCATGCGGCCAACCCAGACTCGATTCCTCAGTCCCTCTCAGAGAGCCCAGCAAGCTACCAAGAGTATCCCGCCCACAAGGCAGAGCCTGGCATGCTCCCCATGGTGTATTAGATATACCAAAAACAGTAACAAGTCTCACAATGGAGACGTTACTGGTGCCCGCTTGAGCAAATTGATGAACAACGAGAGGACAGTGCTATAGATAACAAAACCATGGTTCTAAAGTGCTGATGATTCCAAGGACACTGGTAAAAGGTTTTTATAGCTTTGGTGGTACACCATGCAGTAGAGATCTGTGAACTTATACTCCTAAATATACACAATACTATGAACAACTGACCACAAAAGAGACATAAAAAGGGGACAAATAAAGTGTAAGTAAAACAGTACAGTTGTTGCCCGGTGCTAAAAAACACAAATTTCCTGGAAATACTCAGATTAAATTAATGCTACAACTGCTATTGAGCACTTGTGTCTGCGGCCTCCACCTGATGGCCAGGCCCACTGGATTTGGCCACCACTGCCACTTTCCAGCACCAGAAACAATGACTCCTGCATCTGTAGTCCAGGACCACTAGATCACTAGACCACTAGACCTATACTATTTACTCCAAGCACACATCACCACAACTTCTTAGCAGTCATCCATGTACAGAGCCACAATCACTATCTAAACTTTGTAATTGTGAACCCCAATTGCTGCCCAGTCTAGCTCACCCCTAGTCCTCACATAGCATTAGGCATAATGAAGAAAGGAAAAAAAAAGGTTTAAACAATGTAACCTCACATCTTAAGCAGTAGAAAGACAATAAGACGTGAAAGTAAAATAAGTAAAAGCAAAGAAATAATAAGATCACAACATAAATAAATTATATATAAATCAAAATGACAGTGCCAAAAAAAATTAATGAAACTAATAGCTGGTTCTTTGGAAGAAAAAAAATATTGCAAACCTTTACTTAGATCACTACAAAAAGAAAAATCTACTAAAAAGAAAAAACCCTATTAAATAGAATCAGAAATGAAGGGGAATTTACAATGGGTAACAAAAATACAAATTATTTTAAGACTGCTATGAAAAACTTATGCCATTAAATTGGAGAACCTGGAAGAAATGTACCAAGGTTTTGAATTATTCAACCTCATAAAAATGAATCAGGAGAAAAGAGAAAACCTAATCAGGCCCCTCACAAATAAGGACATTGAAACTGAAGCAGTAATCAAGTCTCCCTCTTAAACAAAAGTCCAGATCCCATAGATGTTAGCAGTGAATTCTACTGAAATTCAGTAGTGAATTCTACTGAAACTTCAAAGACAGTTTATTACACAGTCTTCATAATCTCTTCCAAAAATACTGAAGAAACACAATTCTTACAATTTCTATGAAGTCTACATTAACCAACAAAAAGAGACAGCATTTAAAATAATTTATAGATAAATATCCCTAATTTAACAAAGATGCATAACTAATAAAATTTCACTGATCTGAATCTACATTTAAAAAGATCATACACTAGAAAGCAAGTTGGATTTATTCCAGAGATGCAAGGGATGCTGAACATATACAAAACAATGAATGTGTAGATCAAATCAACAGAGAAACATTTTGACATCTGTTTATGATGAAGGAGAAAAAAGAACTCAGCAAAATAGAGATAGGAAGAACTTACCTCAATACAACAAAGACCATGTATATATGATAATTTCACAGCTAACATCATATTCAGTGTCAAAAACTTAAAACTTTTCCCCTAAGATTTGGCACAAGACAAGGATCTCCACTCTCAGCACTGTTACTCAACTGAGTATTGGAAGGCCCACGCATAACAATTTGTCAAGAAAAATAAAAGGTACTCAAACTGGAAAAGAGGAAAACTACTTCTCTTTGTAGATGACATATAATATACACAGAACACTCTAAAATCTTCACCAAGAGAATCTCTAAGAGAAAAAAATCAATACATCATTGTGGTAGGCATTAAAATTAACTATACAAAAATCTTTTATGCTAATATATGTAAATCTATGAGCGTAAAAAGAAGTACCATTTCCAGTAGCAATTTAAAACTCCTAGTAATCAGTTTAACAAAGGAGCTGATATATATATATATATATATTATATATAAAACTGATATATATATATGTATAGTAGCACTGTAGCACTGTCCTCCCATTGTTCATCCATTTGCTCAAGTGGGCACCAGTAACATCTCCATTGTGAGACTTGTTGTTACTGTTTTTGGCATATTGAATACGCCAAAGGGAGCTTTCCAGGCTCTGCCATGCAGGCGGGATACTCTTGGTAGCTTTCCAGGCTCTCTGAGAGGGACAGAGGAATCGAACCCAAGTCAACCGCAGACCAGTTGGTTAGCTCAGTTGGTTAAAGTGATGTTAACATAATAAGTACTAGTAGTAATTATTAAAAGCTATAGGAGAAGATATATGAAATGGAAAAATATTCCATGTTCATGGTGTTGGAGGAATTGATATTAAAACTATCACCCTTCTCAAAGCACTGTTAAGATTAAATACTATCAAAATTTAATTAGTATTCTCAAGGATATAGATCAAATACTACTAAAATTTGCACAGAACAGCAATTTCCTATATAGCCAAAGTAATTCTAAGAATAAAAGAAGAGTAAAGGCATCATTTTACTCAATATCAAACTACTCTGAAAAGCTCAAGTTATCTGAAGGGTGTGGTACTGGAAAAACAAAAGAGATGAATCAATCAGACAGAATTAGAGCTCAGAATTAAATCATCAGATGTATGAACAGTTAAATTATAACATAATAGCACAAAACATAAAATAGAGAAAGAAAAACTCTTTAAAAATTGTTCTTAAAAACTGGATAGCCACACGCCAAAGAATGAAACTTGAGCACTATCCCAAACCATGTAAAAATTTAATTTGAAAAGTTAAATTGAAATAAATATCTAAGGTTAACTATGGTAGACTCTGATTCACAAAATCTAAGATATATATATAGGCATGAATAATATATTCATGACATTTGCTTCAGAGGTATCTTCAGTAATGCAACTCCATTAGAAAGGAAAGCAAAAACAAAATAAATGGTTGTGCTGGAAATGCTGAGTGTATGACCAAGTTCCATATCCTGCATACTACGTGGGTCCCTGACCACAGAGCTAAGAGTCACCCCAGCAAAACTATCACAAAACAATATTTTACTGAAAGGAAGAAAATATTTGCATTTTATACATCTGAAAAGCATTTAAAACATATAGGAAATTCATAAAACTTAACAACAAAAATGCTATCCTCTTTAAAAAAAAGGAGAAAAGTGCTGAGTATATATACTTTAAAGAAGACATACAGATAGCCAATGGGCATATGGGAAAATATTCAGCATTATTTATTATCAGAGAAATGCACATCAAAATAAAAATTGTATATAAATTCATACCACTGATAGCCTATAGAAAATGGTAAGGCTATTTCCAAAAACTTTTAAAAATAGAATTACCATAAAATCCAGTATTTCATTCCTAGCTTCTATTTTCCCAAATGGCAATAACAAAAATGCTCACTAATCTTAAAAGGAATTTTATACTTCTGCTCATTGTGTGCTTTTTTCAGTAGCTTAGATCTGAAAACACCCCAAGTAGCCAACAACTGATATGTAGATAAAGAAATTGTATTGTGGTGTATATTTGCAATGGAATACTATTCGGCTATAAGAAAAATGAAATTCTGCATTTTGCTACAAAATACAAAGAAGTAGATGCATCATGTTAAGAGAAAAATAGTTCAGGAAGAGAATAAAGCTGAACAATTTCACACGTGGTATACAAAGAAACAAATACAAGGGAATATATAATGTTCAACAGAAACAAATTCTTCTGCTTGCAACGGAACTAAGATTACCAATAATGTGAGAAGCAAACAGAAGGCATCCTATGAACAGTACCAGAAGGATATTGGCATTTTTTTGGTGGGTGTGGTGTGACAAAACTGTCCCACTAAAAGATATAATCATTTACATTATTATAAGCCAATGTTCAATAAAAATGAAATGCATAATACTTTAAAAGGATTTTATGTTAAATACAGATAAATAAAATTTAAGTATAAAATCTTCTGAGGGTATTTATTCAAGACACTTATTTTGAGTCAAATATTTGCCATCAGTTTTACAAATATGAATTGTCTACACCTTACAAACAACATCAACAATAATAATATCATGTGTCATTGAATTCCCCATTCTCTGAAATTTGAGCCATGTTTTCTATGGTAAAACTTGTAAATTGCTAGGTTTACGAGAGAGGGAAGCTATATGAAAGCTGAACTTACCTGTAGTTCTGCTTTTCATTTCCTATATGGAATCTGTCATATTGTGAATAGGCTCGGTTTCCTTCCCAATCCATTAGCTCAATTCTTAGTGTGTACTGCCTCTGACTGGTTATGGCAAAAATAAACTCATTCCCCAGCCAATATTCACCTGAGGGATTTCCAAACCCCTACAAAAGAAGATGAGATGCAGTTGTTACTTCAGAGAGTTCTTTTCACATTTAGCATTTATTAATACTCTAAATAATAATAAGACATTCTTTAAAAGTAGATTCGTATTTCTTTCACACCCCACACACACTATTTTCTCAATTGTTGACTCAATAATTTTCCGCTGTTTCCCTCCATGAGGCAGATTTCTAATGCTTGTTCCAGTAAAATTTGACATTCATGACTGTGTAGAACTCTTTGTATTAAATCTGGTTAAGAGGTTCAACCAGTGAGCACTTCATAGTTTACTTTTGAAAATGTTTCTAAAATGCTATATATTTGAGTGTTTTAATATTTAAATATTTTATGAAATTTAAATATTTAAATATTTTAATGAATATTATCAGAATAATACCACAAGTTATCAAACCATACTGTTATTGTTTTATCATATTACCAGTACTACCAATTTTACTATTTTGGAGATACATTATTCTGAGATAAGTTCTTAATCAGGTTCTTGGCTTTTAATATTTTTAACACTGTTGATTTAAAAAAATAAATCTAGAAATATACTGTGATCATAATTTTCTGGCATGCATTTTGAGTTTGAGAAAGAAGGCTTACACAGAAGGGCTGGTCAGTTAATCTCTGAACTTGAATCTGAATCTGGCTCTCTTATTCTCTTTAGGGGAATCCTATCATGGTTGCTAAGTATTGAAAATAATTTTCTCTGGGGGAAAAATGTAGTCTACTTAATGTTGATGACATTAGTGAGCGAAAAATAAAGAGCCTTAAGATACCACTGGTATTCCAGATTTTGGTTCTTCACAGTTGCATAAAGTATCCCACGGCCATGCTTAAAGCTTAATAAAATTTTCAATCCACATATGTGTTTTACTAACCAGATGTGAGATTCATGAGTACAGAAATTGTGCTGTATTTGGGAATCCTCAAAAACTGTTGGTGTGCTAGGCACTCTGTTTTACTACAGTTCAAATAAAAAAGGAAAGAAGGAAGGAAGTGATGACGAAAGGAAGAACACAAAGTCTTTAGGAAATTTTTAATGACATTCGGGAAAGTAATCTTAAAACGCAATTCTCATAGAATTGTAGGTAAGTAATTTTTATTTTCTCAATTGAATTACAATCACTGAAACTATAGTTTAAAATATTTCTGTCTTCAAATTGAATCAAAATATCTGAAAACCACAAAATCACATCTGAAAAATACTCTGCTTTGTTTTAGATGCATCAATATAAGAACTAAGTATAGAATATATTCTGATGTTTTAGAAACAAACTCTAGGTATGTTCATTAATAAAGGTTATATTTTATGTATAGTAAGACAAAGTTTGAAGGAAATGCTAACAAATCATAGAAGTTCTTATTTTGTCTAGATGACAGCATTAAGACAACCTTTGTTTCCCTCCTAATTTAACATAGATCAAGTTTATGGAGCTTAAGACAGTAGAGTATTCTTAACTGTTTTGTCTTTTAACTAAATTAACACGTGAATCAGTGTTTTCCATTCTTTCTTGAAAATATATTGATACCCATAATGCAGTAAAAACATTAAAGTAGTAAATATATTCATGTACAACTAATCTAAGAGAATTGAGATAGTTTCCAAAAACCAGTTCTGTTTGTTCCTATCCTGTTTTTTTTTGTTTCCAGCTTAGTTATCAAAATTACAAGATTTATAATGTTACATAGATAACTTAAATATTAATGAGGAAATTGTCTTTTTTTAAAAAATGGCTTAATTTTAATATTTAGGTTTACACAGTGGAAGCAAATTACTGAAAAAGTGGGTTTGAATCATCTGCTGCTGCAGTAACACTAAGGTGGGGAAAGAAACATTAGAGGACTTTAAAGTTGCATTGCTTTGTGTATTTCTTAGATTGTTTAGTATGTATCTCACCAATTAAAGAAGTATAAACTAGATATTTGATGCATTCCATTATGGCAAAATTTTATGAATCTTCTAGGTTTTGATTATATACTTAAGAAATGAGCAAATTAACATGTTTTCATCCTTAGATTTATAATAAACATATTAATGTAGGAATACTGTTATACTCAACTTCCTAAATTTACCTTACTTTTTATTAAGAGTCTGAGTTGAATTATCCTTTATAGACCATCATCCTATAATTTAGAGCAAAATATAGGAGCCAATGAAGGCACCGCTTTAGTTTCTTTGTTTCTCTATTCCTAAAATGCTCAAGTCATATTTTGAAGGTTGAGCACACTAGTTCAATGTAGAATGTGCTAAGAATTGTACACATTCTCATAGCAATTGGTGCTACATACAGTGAGAAATGCAAAGCTTACCTTCTTCAAGCAATAAGCGGAAAGGTACAGGGAACTGAAAGTCAAAGAATTAGCATATTCTTAATTGAAGCAGGAAGGAAAAGAAGACTGCTGGGAATTTTCTTCTCAACTCAGACATGTCAAAACTCTCCCCAAAGCCACTTGATGATTCCCTCTTCTGAGCAGTGAGAAGGGACCCGGCAATTATACTAAATGTGAATAAGGAGGCTGGGAATGATGAAGTGTTAAGTTTTAGGTCACATATTTCCATGCTGTTGAAAGCGTTGTATGAATAAAACCCTCCAGCTTCCCCAGGGAAAAGTGCAGTGATCTCTAGCAAGCCTCAGAAATAGAAGTGCTTTAATGTCATTCCTATAAAAGCTCCCAATCCCATTTTGGCATGCAGACTTGTAGCTCCCCTAAGTAGAGATTAACACCCAGCCCCAAACACGTTTCCTTTTCTCACTGAATTATAAAGCAAGGAACAGCGTAAAATAAACAAACGCTCTTAGAAACAAAACAAATTTTACTAAAATTTTACTTCATGCACCTTGTATAAAATCTGCTCAAAAATGCTCAACCATGGAAGCCAAATGTTTGACACAATGAATCAAAATGGCTGTTAGATAGGTGGGAAGGAAAGTTTCTAGTAGCTGAGTGCAATGATGCAGAAACAATGGCAGCCACATAATGATGAAAGCAGGGGAAATGGGTTCCCACATTAGTGAAATGTCTACTGGCTACTTTATCAGGCCCACCACAGATCTGATGCCTAGGCACAGAGGCTAGACTAGGATTAAAGAATTTCTTACTCTGCTCCAGTTTGGAGCTGTGCTCTGCCACATGATTGCTATGGAACTTCTATATTACCTCTATGCATCAGGATCCTTATCTGGCAAACAAAGAAATCAGATAATATGCCTATAGGATTTATCCCAGTTACTAACATAAAGCACTAACAAAAATCAAGTTGTGAATATAATTAGAGAATCTCTTACAATGTAGACTCACTTTTATGTTTCCTCTTTTTCACAAAATTGTGAGCTATTTGAGGAAAAGCTGGTTCCCAACTCCCCCATATGAGAACAGAACAAAAATAATATGCAATCTTGTTTTATTCTGAAAATTAGTAAGGGTGGGATACTAAAGTGATTATTTCTAAGGCCCTCGGATGCAAGGAACTAGTGCACTCTTATGAGTGTTGATTTATACAGATGAGTGTTATCATTAAATCCAAGATGTTAATTATTGAAAAAGAAAGAAAACCAACTGGTCACCACCAGGGCTATTCTATGGCATAAATCAAGTCACAGACTACTTCCTTATTCTTGTTTTCTAGCATTGAAAATAATATCTCCTTCAACTATTCTGTGGTTCAATTTCTTTCAATCAGCTTCCTCCTGTAAATCATAAGTTTAAGGATTCATAAAAGACTAATTTTTGAGATTTTGAACCATGCTGATAAATCAGTAGCTCTGACAGCTGCATTTAGCCAGAAATACCTATCAGAAAATGCTGTGGGACTTTTGAAAACTATGGATGCATCGGTCCTCACATTGACTCTGTGGTCGACTGAGGTCTGTACATTGAAGAGATTCCACAAGTGAGACTGGTACCTACCAAAGGTAGATTAACTGTAGAGTTCAGGCATGGAACACCTATTGCAAAATTGCAATATAATATTGGAATATTATTGGAATACTGGAATTTTGGAACTTGGTGTTCCAATATTCCAGTAATATTATTCCAATATAATATCCTGATATTATTGAAAAATAATATTAATAAGATCAAGTTATCTGAATGTCACTTAGGAAGCAGAAGACAGTCATAAAACAGTCTCACATTTCTATTGAACTCCATACTAAGAGGTAAGTTTTGATAACATATTATGATGCTATCCTTGAAAAAACTCTGAATCATGTCTGAAATGTAGATAAGATCAACATACAACCCCAACTAAGTATGACACAATGGCAGTCCACAGGTCTATCACAGGTCTATGTTTTGTTCCAAATATTTTGTAATAGCCACAAAAATGCAAAGGCAAACATAAACTAAATATGAAACTCTAAAACTTCTGCCACACAGTCAAAGCAGCAAGTCCAAACAGAATTAATAATTGTGTAAAATATTTTTCCTTTTTTTATAAATAAAAATCTAAAGATGCTATGCCATATCCTTTAACGAAAATTACACTTAGACTCAGCTAATCACTCTCATGGAATACTTACTATCATAATACAAATGGATTGTTAATTTCAGTTTTCCTTTAGCTTTCTAATGAAAGGTTAAGAATATTCTGGACTTTAAACCTAAATCAGTGCTGACATAAAATTGGCTTTAAAATATCACATTTTTTTCCCAGAAAAATGCACACAGAGGAAAGACTGATTTTCATTAGTTTTCTCTTTTTTACTAAAACCTGCAGAAATGTTCAATTGAGTTTGTGTTTTTCCAAGTTAATAAAATAATTGTCTTTGATACTTTATTTATTTTGTCTGATAATGCTCATAGGAAGCACTGACTTTTTATAGCTGAAACAAAATTGGAACCAGACACAGTTTATATACCCTACGGGTTTCATCTCTTTTCACACAAATGATTAAAGAAAACAGATTAGAAGCGACTGTTTCTGACTTGTGGATTTCCAAAGGTGTTTTAAAACACAATTAAAATGTGCATCTTTTCTACCTGACACACAGTCCGAGGAAGATCAAAGGTTTCATTTCAAGATCTGAAGTCTCATTCATTTTTCTCTTTTGAATGTAAAGGTATTAAAATACAGTTGAAAATGTGCTCTTAATTTCTTCCCAGGAACAAAGAACTCCAGGAAGGTTTGGCCCTCAGACAGAAGTATGTGTGCCTATAGAAGCTTTGTTTATGGGGGCAATTGTTTTCAATGCAAAGCCATATTGTCCCAGGGTAATAGTCACTACCTTTCTATAAAGTTAGGCAACTAGAGTGCTATTTTGAACTCCTGGCTTGATTGGGCTTTATATGCAAAAGTACTGCTGATAAGTGTTAATACTGGAAGCCACTAAAATGCATCCTCATGGCTTGAAGGAGTTAATCTAGTTCCCTAAGTGCCTCATTAAAAAGGTCCACTCCAGACTTCCTTCTTGGCAAACATCTTTAAAAATCCATAAAATAGATTTTACTAAATCTCCTCTTAGAGGGGGGTTTTGGTAAATGAAAACAAAGCTCAGGTAAAAGACATCTGTAGACAAGCAAATTTAAGAATAAACTGTAGATTTTTTTAAGTTGCAACAGGATTGAGAATTATTCTAACATATAATGGATAACTGTACTGTCATTTTAATATTTTGCTCCAAAAACTTTAATACTTTGTGTTTTGAGGCACGAGGCAGTCCTCAGATAACCTGCATGAAGGGAAGGAGAAAGGGAGGGCAGAGGGGAAGGACGGATAATACTTTATTTCTTTACTCAGTGCTGGAGAAAGAAGCGAAGCATCTTATGTATAGGATAGACTGGTGAAGATTGAGGAGGAAGTGGTGCATGCCAAGAAGTTCTTGTTTTCCCAGAGGATGTGCACCCTAGCAGCCGGATCTTTTGATGCGAGAAGCAGAAGTAGGCGTGATTGATAAGCACTGGCATAAGGAGTGTACATCCATTCTCTGTGGAGGTATGTTATTTTGTCTCTAGGTGAAAGAACGGCTCAAAAGGAAACAACTGCAACACTTTCTACCATGTGTTTTGGTGAAGGCCAGCGATGTCGGAATATATGATGAATTCCTTTAATTAAAACAAAGAAGTCTTCAGTCTTATTTGGCCCGAATGTGCTGGCGTTTCAGAGTTTATCTTATTTTCTGGGCATGTAAAATTGACAAAAAAGGGGAGAAGGATAAATTTACAACAATTTGGACTGAAGAATAATTTCAATCTCATTCTCCTTGTGAGAAAAACTGCTTAACATATGTATTTTCTAAATTTTTATAAGACATGAAACAACATCATACTTCATATGTCAGTCTCTAAACATGTATAGTTTGCCAAGAAAGCTTGCAGCTAATAATTCACCATTTTGGAAAGTCACCATGGAGACAACTTTATATTAACTTTCTATTATCACTAACATTAATAATAATGCATTTCAGTTTCTCTGAAACTTTTCCCATCCTCGGTTGGATTTCAGAAGACTTCTTCACATTTACTAGTAGTGTGAAAATAATCAGGAGTTAACAAGGTAGTTCAAAAAATAGTATTTTGGCAAAGTTAAATGCAAGTTTTTCATGTCTTTGATGTTATTATCCTGAATAATAAAAATAAAATAAAAACAAAACTGTTTACTAAAAATCTACTGTGCCCAGTGATTTTACTCCTTTCTCTTTCTTCTGCTTCCCTCCACCCCCACCCCAGCATCTTTCTTTCTGTTTGGGGGTTACACTTCACAGTACTCAAGGTTTACTCCTGGCTATACTTAGGATCACTTTCTATTCCTCACAATGTCCCTGTAAGGCAAGTGAGGTACACAGTATCAGTACGGCGACACTATTATTTGCCCCATCTGAACAAGTGAGAAAGTTAAGGTAAGAGTACTCCAAATCCCTCCATTTGTAAATGCCAGAGTAAAGACATAGTACAAAGGTCCTCTTTTAGAAGAACTTAGACAATCTTTCTGTCTCATGTTCTTAACATCACTCAGCAGAAAGGAACCTTAGACACAGACATTCCAATTCTCCATGACATTCATGGAAGATGGCAATCTGCCTTCTACTGGGATGTTTACACTGAGGAGCTGGTTCTCACTAATTAATTAACAGTTCATTCACACTGGAAACAAGTGACCATTGGCCAGTTTTATTTATATTTAAGGTTAATTTTGCCTAGGTGAAAAGGCCTTCCATTGACAATGGAACTCCCATCTTTACAAAACACCTTAAGAGGCTGGAGAGATAGCATGGCAGGTAGGGCATTTGCCTTACATGCAGCCAACCCGGGTTTGATTTCCAGCATTCCATAAGGTCCCCCAAGCACCGCCAGGAGTAATAACTGAGTGCAGAGCCAGGAGTAACTCCTGAACATCACTGGTGTGACCCAAAAAGCAAAATAAATAGATAAAATTAAAAACACATTAAAATGCAGGAGTTCTGGGGTAAACTTGAGTTTATGCATGTCTGGGAAACTCAGCTGAAGTTACAGCTTCTGATCCTTGGATCACATTTCAAGTAGCAGGGTTTTATGTCACATATCTTCATTTTGTCAATTAAAATAACCATCAGACAATCTTAGGACCATTTTCTTTCTTTTAGGTTGAGGAGTCTCCCTTCGACTCAGCTGCCTCCACCATGCTTGTATCCTCCAGAAAAAGTTCATCTCCAAAAATGAAAGCACATTATTGATATGGCCAAACAGTGACAGACAACAGTAAGTTCTGTAGTTTTTGTCACTGAAAATTACTGTGACTGTAGAATGAATTCACTAATAATTTGTTTTTAAGTAACCAACCATACAATAAGCTTAAAGCCAAGCAATTAGTTCCATAATTCCAATACTAGGTTTTCAAGCTTATTGTCATCATCACCTTATATTCAGTTTGCTTTGTGTTTTGTCCAAACTGAAGAACTTTCCATCTCTTTACAAGATAAAATTCTATTCTGGTGGTCTCAGAGTACCTTAATATCTAGAGTTTATAGTTTATTGAAGACATCAGGGGATGAAGAAATAGCCCAACAGGTAGGGTGCTTGCCTTGCATGTGGCTGACCTGGGAATCTCTGGCATCTACTATATGACCCCTGAGCACCACCGAGAATGATTCCTGAGTGCAGAGCCATGAGCATCGCTCCAAAAATAAAACAAAACAAAGACATCAAGGCTCCAAGTTCATGTAACTTCAAATAAAATGCCCATTAATCTACTTTCAGTGTTGAATTGAGAATATGATAAAACTATTATAGCACAGAGATATCATTATAAACATCACATCATTTTTTAAAATGGTGTTTACTGTCATTCAACCAACTATGAATCGACTTATGGGTGAACTATGATGCCAAATTACCCACAGTTACACATTATCTATAAGAATATAGAAATAGAACTCAGGCTAGTATATAATTTTTCTTCACCATTTTCATTACCTCCAGATAGGGATATTTTTCAACATAACCATCATCTGGGAGATTTATATATAAAAGATGATTAGTTCAAAACTGGAAAGCCTCTTTCATTACTGTATCTTGGCATTCTACCAGCAGATTTTAGTAGTTACTATTGTGGTCACTGACTATATGGTTATAGGATTAAGAATTATTCCATCTATTTACTACATTATCCTGTAAAAGTTGATCACCCAATTTTTCTAGTTTCTCTTAAAATTGAGGCAGTAATAGCTGACATTTGATATAAAAATAGATAATAATTTATGCACATATTAAATAATGAAACGATTAACTATAATGATGGGGATGATGATAATGACCTGTGCTGTTATTCTGAAGAAGCCAGTGAACTATAGTTCACAGTTCACACTTCGGGCACCTCTTTGACCTTGAATCTGTACTGGTCCTGTCATCAACCTTAACCAAAGGAATGCAATGGAAATGACTCTCCCCAGTTCTGGGCTCATGAACCTTAAAAATTGTCTGGCACTTCTATTTCATACTTGTGTTATTCTTAACTGCCATATAAGAAGTCTCACCCTGGGATAAAATACTGGAAGGGCACATCCAGGTCATTTAGTGAAGCTCTGCATCAACAGCCATTATTGGCCCTTCACATAAGTAAGGTCATTAGTAGTTTGCATTCTGCTCTGTGACCTGCATACCTGCACACCTCCCTTGTTTCAGCTACGATATCTAGCCTGGGTCTGGGTTCTAGCTTTCCCAAACAAGATTTGACCAGGAACAAATCCAGTCCCTGCACAGCAGTGAGTCAAAGATTTTCAGTAATAATTTTCCTTCTGATTGTACACATGGAAATGATTTAATGAAAATGGGTTAAGATGGTTTTGTGTTCAATGAAAATAATGTCACTAATGTACCATTTTATTTTAAACATAACTGGAAAACAGTTCAAAAATATAAGGACTTATTACACAGTTGGATGAATATAGCCCATAATAAAGCATCAAAAAACATTGTAAATTCTCCATCTTACCATTTTATATTCTTTCCAACCTCTTTGGAAATCCAGACTTCCATCTTCACGATGTTGTATTACAGTCCAACCTCCCCCATTAAGATCCATATTGCAAAAGACCTGAAAAATGGAAAATGAAATCAAGTGAAAATTTGCTTTACAAAACCTTCATCACATACATTTCATAGCAGAAGGGTCCAGAGAGAAAGTACAGAGAATAGGGCACTTGTCTTGCACATGACTGACCCAGATTTCATCCTTGGCACCCCATATGGTCCCTAAGCCCTGACAGGATTGATACCTGAGCAGAAAGCCAGGGATGGGGGGGAGTGGGGGTGGCATTAAAAAAACCCAATAAACAAATAAGAGTAAAAATTACATCATGTAAATATATTAACGTAGATGTCTTAAACATATTTCCAATAGTGAGCTGATTCCAATCAAATTCCATCAAAGGTACATAAATTACTTATGCAAATTTAAGTCATCTGTTGACTAAACCAAACTATAAAAATAAGTATTATAAACTTTAGTAATAATAATTACTTGTGTATAATTTATTTAAGTATACTTAAAGTGTACTTTTTTTCTTCTTCTGGGTTTTAGGTCACATCTGGCAGTGCTCAAGGTTTACTCAGGCTCTGGTGCTCAGGGTTCACTCCTGATGGAGCTTGGGTACCATATATGTCACTAGGGATCAAACCCTGGTTGGCCTTGTGCAAGGCAAGTGTCCTACCCATGGTACTATCACTCAAGCCCAGGAGAACTATCTTTAAATAGATAAGAAAAACTGCTTTGAATTTTGGGGAGAGATACCAAAGAGTATAAGTAGTAAATACTTGATAATTCTATTTTTAATTTTTTGAGACATCTCCATGGACTGGAGTGATAGCACAGCAGGTAGGGCATTTGCCTTGCACGCAGCTGATCCAGGTTCAATTCCTCTGTCCCTCTCAGAGAGTCCAGCAAGCTACTGAGAGTATCCCACCCGCAAGGTAGAGCCTGGCATGCTCTTCGTGGCGTATTCGATATGCCAAAAACAGTAACAACAAGTCTCACAATGAAGATGTTACTGGTGCCCGGTAGAGCAAATCGGTGAACAATTCTACTTGTCTCCAAAATTATAGAATATTTTATTTCCAAAACATAAGACTTCAACATTTTCATTTTAAATTCATTGAAATGTTTGGGGCAGATAGATAGTACAGTATGTAGGGTGTTTGCCTTGCACATGGCCCACCTGGGTTTAATCCCCAATATCCCATATGGGCCCCACGCATTGCCAGGAGTGATACCTGACTGTAGAGCCAGGAGTATACCCTGAACCTTGCTGAATATGGTGCCAACACCAAAAACAAAACAAAAAAATGAATTCACTGAAATATCAATATAAATAAATATTTGGGGGAAAGTCATATTTATTACATATTTCATTACATATTAATTCCAATATCTTTACTTACTACCATAATTAGTCTTGATGTTTCAGTATTACATTTGGGACAATATTTAGTCTTCAGCATATGGAGAACACATTATTTGCTTGAAGTTTCATCATGAACAATAAGATGAGACTATGACATACTGTATTCCTTCTAACTGCGACAAGCATTTCTTTCCCATGTGGAAAGAAGTTATCCAAATCTTTCAGAGGTTCATGCTTATTTCAATTACTCTAAATACAATAGTTTTTATTTAGAAATTGATTCATTTTCCCTATAGTCCGCCCAAGGAGAGAAACTTTATCTGTAATGGGATTATCTTTGGAGAGCAATCAGTGTAATTGATGTAGATGAATATGGCAGTTTGATTATTCAAGGGTCCAGTTATGGGAAACACCATTCCCCCAACAATTCACTACTAAAGCTTTCTGGAGGCCGGATAAAGGTGTGGATGAGATATAACAGCAGCAGGCAAGCTTCATAGACATAGAGTTAAGCTCTGATTAAAAGAAAAACCTCAAGCATTTTCCCAGAGGCATTAAATTTGGAGCACGAATAGCACAAGGATATGAAAACAAAGACACAGACTGTCATTCAAACGACACAGTTATCCATGCATTTTCTTAGCATGAAAGGAACTAAAGAGATGCATGCCTAGTTATGAACATATTTAACAGGCAAAGTACTCTCCCAGGGCTCTACTGTGCCAACAGCTACCCATTCCTTATGTTTTCATCATACTGGACTTGACTCATCTCCAAGATAGTAAATTTGAAATTCCACTCACTGTCCCTAAATTCCCTCTCTACTAATCCCTTAACCCTCCATACCTGCTCTTTGTCCTCAATATAACCTCCAGCTAAGTCTTTAGGCCTATTTAATTCTAACTCATTCAATTCACTAAATTTGCATTCAACAAATGTATTAGGACATTGGTTCTGTTATAGCTAGAGATGTTATGATGAACAATCATAATCATTACTATTATTATTAGCAATAAATACTGAATCCATAATAATACTGAATCAATAAATTTGCTCAAGTGGCAACAGTAATGTCTCACAATCAATTGTGAGACTTGTTGTTACTAATTTTGGCATATTGTATACATCACGGGGAATTTGCCAGGCTTTGCCTTGAGTCCGAGATACTCTAGGTAGCTTGCCCAGCTTTCTGAGGGGGGGGAGGAATCAAACCTGGGTTGGCAACGTGCAAAGCAAACGCTTTACCCACTGTGCTATCTCTCCAGTCAAAAAAGAATCAATAAATACTGAATAAAAATACTGAATCATACTAAATACTGAATGAATAATGTTATCAGTAGTAATAAATACTGAATCCAGATTTGAACGCTATGTCTATCTAATTTAAAAAATTTCACTGGGGGTAATCTGCTTAAAGTAGAAGTAGACAGCCTGATGATAAATTATTTAAAGGATTTAAAAATAATAAAAGATATGTGAAAGGTGGGGTTGGATGAGTGTCCCTGTATATCCAAGAAACAGATTCTGATGAACAGCTGATGAAGACAAAATACATAAGTAACCTTTAGGTTGGCAGATAATTTCATTTGCTGGTATCTCTAAACCTAGGCCAGTTTATAGCAGATACTAAATGCATATTGTTAAGTAAATGGGGATTTGATTTTTAAAATATAAAGATAAAATAGGAAAACTTGATTAATGGAATGTAATTTAAGCTGGGACTAGATTTTTAGTTAGGGAGGTGATCTACTTAACCAAATATTTAGAACTAATCAAGAAAAATAAAGATTAAGAAAATACAGAAAGAATATTTAAAATGAAGGAGCCATTACTGACAATGAGGAGAGATTGCAGAATTTCTACTGAGAATAAAATCTGATGGCACCCTTTAAAGAATACATGATAGGAATTTGAGATAAGTGATCAATAAATAACTTCAGTAATGAAACTTAAAAGTGAAATATCAAGAAAATATGTTGTTGGAAGTAACCAATATCACTTGTTTATTGAATTTTATAGTATAGAATTTTATTGATTGGTTAATCCATATTTTACATTTTATAGTCGCCAATTATTTTAGTGAGTATTTTTCTAATAAGCAGCTTTTCATTTATAATTTTAAATTGATTAAAAATGTTTAATCATTATCATTTAGGTAAAATCATTTTAGTGCTAAGTATCATGGTTTTGATAAAGGATTCACACTTCATTAAAACTCAGAGAAAGTGAGATCTACATGGATAAAATTATTCAGTCAAGTTACTTGCATTGCAAAATGAGGTGCATAAAAGTTAGGCTGAATATATATATATATATATATATATTTCATGATTTTTAATATGACCAAATAATAACAGATGAGAGTAGCTGTTATGTGTGAAAGATGGGTCCAAGGGAGATGAATTTTAGATTGGCTGGTGCCCTATAATTAGTGTTATCATATTCAAAGTCCACCTCTGATCTCTCTCTCTCTCAGATCTGTAACAAGGATTAAATTAATTCAGGCACATAGGATATTTAGAAGTGTTTGACACATTACACTTTGTCATTCCTCTAATATCAGATATATTTTACATAAACATATGTATTATGTTATCTGTATACCATGAATTTAGGTTTTTACTGTATGCTATATAATAGTGCTTATGATTTATTATTTATAATTTGTTATGAATAACATGGACTGCATAAGGCCAAAATACATGATAGCTCATGAAATTTGTGCTTATTATTATAATGGTCTGTTTTTTGTCAATAGTACTCTCACCACTAGTGTTTGAATAAGCAACATTTTACTGAATATTTAAGAACTTGAATTCACTAATAGACAAAAAATAAATTGTATTTGGAGTTAGAGGAAAGCAGAAAGTGTATGATTAATAGAGGAAAAATCAAGAAAATAGATGTTTTGTTTCAGAAGGATTTGAGACAGGAAAAGGCTTGAAATATTTATTTGCCAATATTGTGAAGTTTGTGTTATCTGGTGGTGTTCTTCCTGTATATAAGATTCTTCCTACATATGTTATGCCTGTTGCATTTATTGATCAGATGATTTGGGTTTAACTTTATCCAAGAAAAAATTGAACTGGCACTTATCCCAGGCAAGGTCAAAGCTTTCAAGCATTAAATACCTTTTAATATAATATGGGGATTAAAACCCAAACAAAAAGAGGTAATTTGATTCACATAGTTTTTATGCTTTTTGCCCTATACAATTTGGAATGATTATGCTAGTTTATGTTGTTTTTTCATAACCTTAAATAGATTTTTTAAAGATTCGATACATTTAAAGTCCTTTTCCAAGAATTAGGGGAATAAAAATTCAGAAAATTTTTATATTTTTTACTATAAGCAGTATTGTAATTTAATTTGGGGGCATTTTTAGAAAAAACTAAACTTACAATAAAGCATTTTGTCTAGAAGTCTATGAAATTAAAGAAAAACATATATTTTTCTACTACTATATGTCAGAGAAATGGCACCAGGTAGATTGTGAGTGATGATAAGTCCTTTGTTCTAGCTTGATCAGCTATGAACTGAAGAGAATATACCTAAATACAAATTCCACATTAACAAACTAAGTAGATTTATTTAACATGCTACTCCAAAGTGTAGGAGTGGGTAGAACATGCCAATTGTAGCTGATTCTGAAATACCTGAACAATTATGTTTTTATACTATATCTGCAGGGTAAATTAGGTGATTGCATCACATTAAGGTAGGATTTTAGGTGGGATTTAAGTAAATGATTGATAGGTTCTAGATTATGTAATTATGTACTACAGTGCTTATGTGCATTTGAACAGCAATAATGCATTCAGAAAAACCCACTAAGGGGGTTGGTGACCTCAATGCTAGCTACATTATAATCAGCTGTTAAAAAGGTGAATGCACAGAGGGCCTGAATAGGGCTATCTGCCTGTGTTTGAGGTCAGGAGGACCCTGTTCCTCATTGTCGTCCTCTACAACAGATGGTTCCCAGACTCAACTCCATTATTATTGGGTTGTCGATACATCCCCAGCTCTTAACATTGCCTCTTAAACATTATGATCCCATCTCACTGTCTCCCTCTAAAATTAACCCCTAAGCACCCCATCACAATACAACTACTTTACCACTATACACTGAAGAGAATTCAGAAAGAGAATGACAGTCATTAAGAATATGAAAAGTAAACAATATTTAAATGTCTTTTCGGTCCTCTTCCAAAAAATTAAGAACCAGAAAACCACCTGAGGTCTCTACATCTAGTTTGAAAAGATAACACTTTTTGAAATTTTGTAGACATTCTTTCTTGGAAAAAGCTGTGTTAGTCAAAAACATTACAAAAAGTAAGTATACATACTGTTCTCTACTTAAAAGATGAATAATTTCTCTTAATATTTTGTCAATTGCATAAATAGCCCAACTTTATTACCTTGTATCTTTTATCCAAAGAAATGCTGGAACTTTTTGTTATGTTTTCATTTAGGCTACCTTGAAACTCCTACCCTTGTAAGAACTTTTGCAAGCTTTACAGTGAGTGAAGATTTTTCTGAGCATATTTAAAACTAGTATCAAATATTTTCTATCTGTGTAACATTTATTTGGAAAAATGATGCTTCCATAGCGCATTTTCCTAGCATTTTATCTGAAAGAACTCTCCCTGACACCTTCCCCCAGCCCCTCTGCATTTTTCTGTTCCTCCTTTCTGTTACAGAACAGTGCAAAGGCATCTTTCATACAAAAAGCTTGTTCCAGCAAAGGGACAAATACATCAAACTAAACCACTACTCATTATTGAAAATAGGGGATAGAGGATGCTAGTAGAGTCTAGTTTCTAGGGTTTGACAATTTATATGGTCTCTGACAATCTGGTCTTTAATATTCATTTTCTCGCCTACTGACTTAGGTATAACCATCATATACTAATACAAGTGTTGGCATTATTTTTAATTGGTCATTCATTTCAGCACACATTTATTGATGACCTACTATATGTTAAAAAAAACACTATACCCCAGCCAAGAAAATTAAAGATAAAAATGGCACAAAAATTAATTCTTGCCTTGTAGAACTCTGGTAGCAAATCACTCAAATTTGCTTCAGTAAATCAAGGAGGTCTTCCAAAAGCATCTTCATGATACTCAAAGAAATAGGGACAAGTGTCTGAGACTTGAGGTGGAGTTAAAAAAAAGAGTTATAAAGCTTTTCTATCTTTTCCCTTGTACTGTTCCTTCTAACACTGCAAGGGAAGTCATTTGGGGGATTTAGTAAAAACTTTTATATGTTGAGTTGAGTAGCAGGGCTATCCACATACAAGGCTTTCCGGAAACTGCTTTAAGATAAATGCAGTTCTCTCACTACACTTTACAGTATGTTATACTTATTTGTGTCATTGTCTTTGCCACTGCACTGGGAATTTTTCTTTTATAATGCATTACTGCTTGCAGCTGAAAAATGACATCCACTTAATATGTAATGAATAGAGAGATGAACCAACAATTTAATGAATAAGAAGTGAAAAGGTCTATAGGAATGAAATTTGACAGCAGGAAGATAGTATTTGCCTATTTAAAATGTTTTGCTTTGGGTCTATTTAATATACTTGAATGCAACCCTCCAACCTTCTTTTCTTTTAAAAGACATTTTTAGAAATTTCTTTTAGAAGAAATATCAGAAGCATCTTTTCAAAATTATGAGGAAGCAGTAATTCTGGAAATAACTTTATGTCATTAGCTCCCTCTCCTCAGGATTTTGGGTAAAGGTAACATGTACTACTTGGGTCCATGGGACCTTGCTCCTAAGTCGTCTTACTAAAAGTGTGCTTTCAAAATGTGCTTTCAAAATGTAAGCTGTATAAGGCAAGTGTTTATGATCAGCAGAACATCCCCAAATTGAGAAAACATAATAGAAAGTTTAGTGTGAAAGAGAGGTTGGATGGTGGGGGTTGGGTAAGTCTGTATAAGAGGATTTTCATCTTTTATGGACCTGGGAAACAGAACATCCTTGGCAGAAAATAGCTCAAGCAAATATATTTTCTGTTTAACAAGCTCACAAATCAATCTGATTATTCAGCAATTCGACTAGGATCTGCTTTACATCTCGTAAACAAACACTTCTGGTTTTACCTTTTTGGGTTCTGGCATATTGTTAATATAAATAGTGTAGATTCCACTTTTATTAAAACCAGCTTGATATACATCAGCACAGTCTCTAAATGGTTTCTCTTCCTCTTTTTTTCCTCCCTTTAGTAAAACTGCAACAACAACAAAAAAAGAGATGCAATATGTGAATAAGATCAGTACTGTTAGTACCCACCTGGCAAATATAGTTAGCAAGTCTTGATTTCTTCCCCAAAAATGTCAGTTTGCATTTACTGAGAAATTAGTCATAATGTCAATACTAGATTTTGAAGTGACTCACAAAATTACAAAGCTAAAGAAATTTGTAGAGAAATTTTCTAACTTTTCTAAATACTTTGTATATTTTTTAAAGATTTCTTAAATGATGTTAATCTTTACATTTTTTTCAGAACATCAATTCAAGGGATAAAAGACGTGATCATGCCTGACCTCCAAATGCTAGCAGTTTTGTCAACATTCTGGAAAACTGTCTAAAATATTCTGACGTATATTTCTTAGGAAAATGTAGACAAAGACAACAAAATCAAACAAAACTGCAATAAAGAGGCTTAAAATGCTAAAAGAAAGTAGTCTTATTCCTCCCTACCCCTATAGCTAAAGTTACTTCTAAAGTGTTTTCATTAAAAATAACAATTTATTAGGTTTATAAAATAGAAGGGTGTCTCCAATTGGATTAACTTCCTCAAAAGAAAATTTTATTTTCAATTTAATACCCTAAAGTTAAACTATTAGGTGAGAGATAGACAATTAAAGGGAAAAAATGAAATGAGATTTAAAATCAAATTAAAAATATGAAGAATGCAATAAAGACTGGAAGTGAAGTGGGAAAAAAGGGAAATTAAATTAGAAATAGGTTCTATCAAGAAAAAAACTTTATTTTATTCACTTGGATGCTCCCACTAAATTCTTAATGAGATTAAAAAGCAATCCATGAAATTTATATTTAGTATTCCTCAGATAAAGATATAAGCAATATATTTGAATACTATTTATGAACTATTATCCCATATAAATAATTTCAATTGGTTTTACTAACTTTTTTTGTAGGAGTTGAAGAATATTTTATAACTTTAAAGTCTCCCGTTTATTTTTATATTTGGAAGCTACAACCACCTGTGTTCAGGGCTTATATCTGGCTCTTCTCAGGGATCACTTCTAGTGGTTCCTGGGAGACCACATGCCTTGTTGGAGATGGAATCAAGTGACTGTGTGCCAGCCAAGAACCTTACCCACCTCACCCACCATACTATCCCTCTGGCCCGAGACTCTCTAATGACCATCTGCTTTAAATCATTTAGAGTCACACTGATCTTTTATAATAAGGAAATTCAGGATAAGCTATGAATCAATGCTTTCAAATTTATTTTAATTGCTCTCAAAAGCTAAAAATACTAGCTTCATTTAAACTTGAAGATGCATGAAGTTACTAATTTCTTTTTTTTAATTTTTATTAGTGACACACCATGAGGTACAGTTGTAGACTTACAATTTTTTGTGCTTGGGTTTCAGTTATACAATGATCCAGTACCCATTCCCCCACCAGTGCCCATTCTCCATCATTTACATTTTTTGAAGTTACTAATTTCTGAGTAATTAAAACAAACAGTCTAAGAAATGTGGGGAAAGAGCTATCTCAATTCAAATATTTCAAACTGAAAAAAAAGAAACTACATTTCAAGAAAATGAAATAACTATGTTAGGGACACTGACAAAATATATATATATATATATATATACATGCATATGTAAAGAGAGAAAGAAAGAATGCGAGAGAGACAATTGTAACATTCAGTAGCATCAAGGTTTTATCTGCAGTTCATGTCTTTATGATTTATCAATACATCTAAATAATAGCATTACTATGAAATTATCAAGACAAACTATGCAGGCAGAAGAATATGAGGTCATATATAAAGAAGTATCCTGTAGTACAGTATAATAAAAAGTAAATAAGTATCACATAGAATATTGGGGAATGACAAAAATAGAAATATAAATGCTTATTCAGAAACCATCTTTAGTGGTATTTGGCATGTCAATCATGATTATATGAAGGTATTATATTTAAAAAACATTAATGCAGTTCAAGCTAATAGATTGTTATTTTTCTAAAATGAAACTTGCCTAAGTTCTAAATGTCTGATTTTCTGTTGAAAGTAACCAAATTAGGTACACTAAGAGAGGAATGGAGAGAAATACCAACTAAAATTTATGAATAACACAGGAAGATGTGGTCAACAGGAATCCAATGGTAAGCCCAGTTTTCTTTTTTGGGGTGAGAGATGGAGAAAGTCATTTATCTAAGAGGAAAATGCTTCTCTTGTTCAGTACACCACTTCCTCCTCTCGTTGGCTTGGCTATGCAGAGTGCATTCCCTTCCCACTTCTTTGTCACCTCCTGTCTGCTTGTCTTTTCCTCTTCAGGAAGACGTGGGTGATGAGGCGGTTGTGTGGGAAGAAAGAAACTATTTCAATAACTAAGAAAAAACCCAAAATGTTGGTATTACCTTCTTCTCTGGAAGCTAGAGTTTAATAATGAGAAAAATACTTGAAGATTCTTCCATAAAAGATACAACTATAGTTATCCTGAGGATCTGTTATTATTATGGCAACATATCTAATGTAGATATTTAACTTTTAAAAATAGTTTGATTACTTTTGACACATTAAACACATTCTTCCAGAGTATATATTCATTATTTCCAAAGATTATACTGGGTCCTGAATTGTTAATTAATAAAGATTATGCAGAAAAAAATTTTTTGCAGGTTATAACTTAGAGTTTAAAGCACTTATAAACAATTTAAAAGCTTTATCTACAATGTTCCTTTGATAATATTATTATATAGTATGTATTGAATGAGAACCTTTTTTACAAGGGTAAAAGACTTTTAGGTTTTATTCTGTTTCAACTGCAAGATTAAAATAGGGACAATGTGTATGTGTAATATATTCATATATATTTCTGGGGCAGGAGTGTAAATAACACACAACATGGAACTAAAGTCTCAAGAATGGTAGTATTTTTCTTGCATGGCAATAACTTTTTTATCAGTGCTGACACTATATCACTGTATTCCTTATTGAAGAGGTACTAGAGCTAGGGAAAGCTATTCAGTCTAGTTAATGGGTTAAAGGATACTGTCATCTTTCACCCACATATGAAAATACTATATTTGCCTAATCACTGGGCAATTCCAATTGACTAGTTACTTTTCTGATTAAATGAACCAGTCCTTTTTGTCAGACTTAGCTAATTGGCTTATTTTACTCACTGACTAATTTAGGGCGTTGTTGTTTAAGTCTGAAAAGAACCCAAGTAATTTAATATACTATAAATTATATGTAAAAGGACACTTAAACATTTTAACACAATGAAAGACAATGATAAATATAATTGAACGCTACAAGTGTCAGAATCAAAAATAAATTTAAATTTTTGTAGGTCTTGAGGGTAAATAAGATGGAAGTTGAAGACTGAAGAAATGTATAAAAAATAAAAGAGAAAACAGAAGAGTATGGAAAGAGGATAAAATAAGTATAGAACTGGGAAGAATAATAAGAACATTAAAAGAATTTGTCTGTCCTAGTGATTCATACTTTTTATAATAGATTCAAAGCATGAATTAAGCAAAACTTGATCTCTGCAGCTAAAATAACTCTTTAACAATATATTTTATATTTTCTTCTACTCTTCCTTAATTCTTCTAGGGGTGGGAAGTGACCCCCAAACAGTGATCAGGGAGCCCAGGGTTCACATCTCAGTCATGCTCTGCCAAGGTGAGACAAGCCAATAGGTATGAAATACTGCTAAGATTTAGGATTGCTACGGGACACCAGGAGTCATGTCTGGTAGGAGCCTTACAGGGATGCTTTTAAGGTCCTCTGGTCCTTGTGTATGGAGAAAGTGCCTCTGACTTATCTTCATCTTCCCATTCCTATTCTTAAAAAGTCTGTCTTTGAGGACCTAGATCCCCACCATCACTGTAAACCCTGTCTACCTTCTCTTTCTTTCTACTGGGCTTCTATCAGAGCCAGGAATTACTCTCTAGGTGAGTGCAATTTATCCACTTTCCATCAACTAGTCCCTTGTACTGGTGAATCCTGACCCCAAGAAGGGTTTACCACTCTATTTCCCACTCGTTTTTGGATTGCAAACACTCTAAGTGATGCTACTTCCTGCCATCCCACGGCATATTTTCTAAATTCTGTTGAGTTCTCCATGATGCTCAGTCAAGTCCTTGGTTATTTCTAAAAGATTTTTTTTAAATATTACCTGCAATGTATATTTTCAGCACTTCTATTTCTTCCAATACTAAAGCTTTTTTCCTATTTTATTTCTTTCTTCCATTTTTTCTTAAATGAGAATCTTTATTACAAAAGTTGACAAGTGAATTAGCATTCCAGTCCGAAGACAGTTAAGGATGAATTTATAAAAGCAAAAACACATCAGCAGCAGACAATAGGTACCAAGGGTAAGGGGCTGCAGGAGCTATGACCAGCAAAGCAAGTTACAGAAGCAACAGAAGCAAGTTGAGAAATTGCTCTTTGCAGGAAAGGAAAGTCAGTCTAATCTTCCCCACGCCTTTCCTCGCAGAAGGGAATCACAGAAGATGACTTTCTCATTCTTTATATAGGACCTTGCTTTACAGTTTACTAAGAAGATGAAAACTATTTGAGAAAAGCCTCCTCCACCTCCTGTCTTTTACAGATTTTGAGACTGTCAATATTTTTGCTTGCTTTCATACTAGTTTCTCACTTAGTTCCTTTTCTACTTCTCAAATTGTCTTTTATCTTTCATTTTCATTGGGTTCTTTTTCTCAAGTACTGTATGAAGGGTCACTCAGATTCCATCATTGTATTTCTTTTCCTTATACGCTTGGGTTTTATTTCACAATCACGGTTTCTAGCTTCTACAAAGATTTCTAAGACACCAGTTATTTTTGACACTGTGTGCACTTTTTAACCTCCAGTTCCTGCTGCTACTTCAACTTTCATTTGTCGTATGTTATCTAAGCTTCCAAGCCTTGCATTCTTTCTTGTATTGGTTCTATAACCCTACCTGAGTTGTCATCATTCAAAATATTAATAGGCTTGCTCTTCAAGCCTGTGTT